ACCACCCGGGGGACTTTGGGGGTAGTAGGTGGTAGACAACAAACCCCCAGGGGCTATACCTTTCCCGTGGTAGTAGGTTGGGAGCAACAACCACCCAGGGAGTACTACCCCCCTGTGGTAGTAGGTTGGTAGACAACAACCACCCAGGGGGCTTCTTAAAACCCTCCTGTGGTAGTAGGTTGATTGAGAACAACCACCCAGGAGATACTACCGTCCTGTGGTAGTAGGTTTTGGGAACAACAAAACCACCCTGGGAGGTACAACCGTCCTGTGGTAGTAGGTTGGTAGACAAGAACCACCCAGGGAGGTTTCTACCATCCTGTGGAAGTAGGTTGGTAGAGACAACCACCCAGGGAGCTACTACCGTCCAGTGGTAGTAGTTGGTAGACAACAACCACCCAGGGGGCTACTACCGCCTGTTGGTAGTAGGTTGGTAGACAAAAACCACCCAGGGAGCTACTACCGTCATGTGGTAGAGGTTGGTAGACAGCAACCACCCAGGGACTTTCTACCGTCCGTGTTAGTAGGTTGGTAAAACAACAACCACCCCTGGAGCTACTACCTTCCTGTTTGGGAGTAGGTTGGTAGACAACAAACCCCCCAGGGGTACTACCGTCCTGTGGTAGTAGGTTGGTTTGACAAAACCACCCTGGGAGGTACTACCCTCCTGTGGTATAGGTTGGTAGACAACAACCACCTAGGGGGGTACTACCGTCTTTTGGTAGTAGATGGTAGACAAAAACCACCCAGGGAGCTACTAACCGTCCTGTGGTAGTAGGTTGGTAGACAACCAACCACCCAGGGAGCTACTACCGTCCTGTGGAAGTAGGTTGGTAACAACACCTCCCAGGAGGTTACTACCGTCCTGTGGTAGTAGGTTGGTAGACAGCAACCACCCAGGGAGGTACTTACCGTCCTGTGGTAGTAGGTTGGTTTGACACAACCATCCAGGACTACTACCTCCTTGATAGTAGGTTGGTAGACAACCACCCAGGAGCTACTACAGTTCCTGTGGTAGTAGTTTTGGTAGACACAACCAACCAGGGAGGTACTACCCGTCCTGTGGTAGTAGGTTGGTAACAACAACCACCCAGGGAACTACTACCATCCTGTGGTAGTAGGTTGGTAGACAACAACCACCCAGGGAGCTACTACCGTCCTGTGGTAGTAGGTTGGTAGACAACAACCACCCAGGGAGCTACTACCGTCCTGTGGTAGTAGGTTGGTAGACAACAACCACCCAGGGAGCTACTACCGTCCTGTGGTAGTAGGTTGGTAGACAACAACCACCCAGGGAGCTACTATAGTCCTGTGGTAGTAGGTTGGTAGACAACAACCACCCAGAGAGGTACTACCATCCTGTGGTAGTAGGTTGATAGACAACAACCACCCAGGGAGATACTACCATCCTGTGGTAGTAAGTTGGCAGACAACCACCCAGGGAGGTACTACCATCCTGTGGTAGTAGGTTGGTAGACAACAACCACCCTGGGAGGTACTACCATCCTGTGGCAGCTGGTTAGTAGACAAAAACCACCCAGGGAGATACTACCATCCTGTGGTAGTAAGTTTGCAGACAACCACCCAGGGAGGTACTACCATCCTGTGGTAGTAGGTTGGTAGACAACAGCCACCCAGGGAGGTACTACTATCCTCTGGTAGCAGGTTGGTAGACAACATCCACCTAGGGAGGTACTTCCATCCTGTGGTAGTAGGGTTGTAGACAACAACCACCTAGGGAGCTACTACTATCCTGTGGTAGTAGGTTGGTAGACAACAATCACCCAGGGAGCTATTACCGTCCTGTTGTAGTAGGTTGGTAGACAACAACCACCCAGGGAGGTACTACCATCCTGTGGCAGTAGGTTAGTAAACAACAACTACCCAGGAAGGTACTACCGTCCTGTGGTAGTAGGCTGGTAGACATCAATCACCCTGGGAGATACTACCGTCCTGTCAAATTAGTGTTAAACGGAAGCCTGTAATTCATTTGCAGAGTGTTTGGATTCCTGATTCTTTTTTCTGTCTCATAAACAATCAAGATAACAGGTGCATCTCGTTACTTCTACTTACAATTAGGTCGTACTACACATGCGTTTGCACGTACAAGTATGTTACAAAAAATGCGATTCTAAAAGCTTAGAGATCTCCTGTGAATACTAGAAAGGACTGCCCTTCTAGCATCCAGCCTGTTACTGGGTTTTTTTAACAAGTAGTCAGTATCCTTGTCCAATTATCATTAGATTCAGTATTATTCAATAGTGTTTCAGGATTACAACTGGTAGGCTACTAACTAGAGAAATTAAAATTTAATAAATTTATTAAGTCTAGAGGTATATTATCAAATTAATTTAAATTAAATTAATCACAGTAATCAAAAAAAAAATCAACCCTCTCGAGTTCAATATTATTGTGCTGAAAGCACATATCACATTTATAATTTTAAAGTACCGTCTGGTACATTAAATTTAATAAGATTATTAAAAATATGTACAAGTAATTTGTGTATGCGTGTAAGTGCTCTAAGTAGTTCACTATGTCTCACGACTCGACTAGATTTAAACAAGTGACTGACAAAGTCCTCACATAAACTAACTTCTTGACGAACTGGAACCGAACAGTCTGCTTGAACAATGAAAAAAAGGGCTAAGCCCAATAGCCATATAACAAGCGACTGGGGACACAATCAGGATCAAGGAGATAATATAACGACACTAAGTAGGGACCATCGCAGATCCTCCCAAAAAAAGTTACAAAATCCCATACTAACTGAATCTAAGTTCAGCATAGGAAAAACCCTGACTGTGACAATACTCAGACACCAGTACAAAATTAGGTCATAAGTATAGCAAAGGACCTGAGATGTTCAGAGTGTCTATGTGACACACAACCTCAGTACAACATCGAAAATCACTAAGTCTATACAAT